TCGGAAGCAGAATGACAACGACGCGTAACGTATTTTTCGTCAAAGTTGTTTTGAAAATCGCTGAGGGCCTATATAACTTTTTTTTCTATTTTTGGCAATGGCACGTCTATTTCTTCAGATACGCCTGCATGATACGTTGATATCAATTTACCATGCGTGACTGTGGGTAGCGCGGCAAAAAGTGCACTTCCATGCGACGTATTCGTGAGCAGTTTGCGCGCCTGATTGATACGAAGATGTGAAGAATAAAAACCATAGAACTGTCGCTAAATTCAGCCCTTTTCCTGTTGAGGCAGCCTGCCGAAGAGAGTGCCAATCCACGAGCGGAGAAGGATAAATGAGAAGGTGTTTCTCAATGCGAGATATGCCGCCTCACACTGAGGTCTATGTGAGGGCCGTGAACAGAATTATTCAGGCCTACAGGTCTAAAGATGGCCGACTGAAAGATGCTGCTCGACCAGGAGGCAGCCGATGCACATTGGAAGAGTCCGACCGCTTCATCGTTGCTGCAGCAGTCGCAAACCCCTGTAGAAACAATAAAAAGGTGCCTGCGAGAAGCCGGACTTCACGGGTTTATCACCGCCCAAAAGCCACACCTGACGGAGCGGCAAGAACGTCAGCGTCTCTAACCTCCTTTGCTCACCCCCCACCGAGGGACAATGGGAGGCCCTTCTCTCCAGCAACGACATAGACATCCAGACACGGGTCCTGAAACGAGCGGAAGAAGTCATCGAGAAGCACAGCCTGGCAGCCTTCGTGGCTTAGCCTCCCTTACCCCTCACCCCTTCGACTAATAAAGTTGTTACTCACTCACTCTAATTTGCTAGAGCGCATGAGCATTGGACGTTGGAAAATTGGGAGGAGGTGATCCTCTCAGATGAGAGCACATTTTGTTCAAGGTGGGACCAGTAGCTCCACGTTTGGAGGCCATACAAGTGCAGGTGTGGGTCTTTTGATTGTGTGGCCATATTTCGTCCACACGTCGCCTACGTAACGGTTCACTTTTTTCCCCTTTTCTTTGTGCATATACGAGCCCTCCTCTACGGCGCCTCTTATATTCATATGATGATTTTGGGATGTTAAACCCACATATCAATCAATCAATGATGTTGTCACCCAACGTGCCTATATTTGTTCATGGTGCAAGCATGGTATTAAACTGCATAGATAGGGCACCATGTTGCCTCGCGCAGTGCTTTTTTGTTTGTTCATTATGTATTTACTTGCCAGCGTCCGACAGCGCCTGTTTGCTTAATCAACGTTCAAAGCAAAGTCGGTGTTTCCAACTCTCTTAATAGCCACGCAAGCAATCTGATTTGATCGAGAGAGTGCTTCGCACTTTCTTCACTAGATACATGTTATTGGAACAATTATATGGCGTCAAAAAGAATAGCGCTGAGGCATAAAAGTCCGTCAGAAAAGCCCCGTGGTCATCTTATTCCCGCCGACGCTCGCCTACGCACGCTGCTCTGTCACCTTCTTCACCGCTCATTTTTGTCATTTACGGTCTATTTCAGAGCACAAGTTTGTTTAAAGGGCCCCTCACCAGCCCATGTTCAATGACGAGACATCCTCGCCTCCGCTACCCTTTTTATGCGTGATATATCCCCTCGCCACATTTTCTTTTAGTAGCACGGGAAACACGTCAGCCCAAGCGGTCGATCTCCATTCTTTTGTGGCGCTAAATATGTAACAGGGGACGACACGAGAACACAGAAGTGCGCACTTTTGTGTTCTCGTGTCGTACCCTGTAACATATTTAGCGTAGCAAAAGAACGATGTCATACCAACTAGCCCCCATTGAGTCCTTATTCAGTCGATATTATCAGGATTCCGCGCTGCTCAACACGCTGTTAGCGCAGATTGCGCAGTCGGAAACACACAAACTGTAGTAAAACCAGTTGATCGCACACGATTGACACGCGAGACAAAGAAGAACGGATGGGCGGCTGCATGGGATGTGTTGTCGCAGAGCTAATATAGGGACAAATGATATGCTTTTAACGCAAGGCAACGCCTATATACATAAACTAGGGAACGAATTTTGCTTGCTAGGGACGCCACGCATGCGCAGACCATGGCTGTGTATTTCCGCGCGTGTGCTCCGCCGACGAGCGGCCCCCGCTCCAGCGCTCCAAATTATTTTGGGAGCACCTGTGCGTGCAAAATGAGTTCGTAACATTGTTTGAAGCTTGTAGATTGAAGGAAGCAACTTTTTTTCAAAAATGCGTTAATGTGTGACATTGTATTAGATGGGAAGAAGCTCGTTGAATAGCCTGTGCAAGGACTGTCCCTCCGTCTGCACAGCTCCCCTCGCCGCAGGTGTTGGAGTGGTGCCAAGTAGATCACGCCCTCCTAGCAGTATGCGGTGACGTCTCTCTCGCCTGCCACACGCTCATCGCGTGTCAGTTCTCTCTCGCTTCACCATCTCCACCGCTCGCAATGCTCGAGCCCACTTCTCACGTGGACATCATCCAACCCGCGCCACGCCCCGCCGCGGTGGTCTATAGTGGCTAAGGTACTCGGCTGCTGACCCGCAGTTCGCGGGCTCCTATCGCGGCTGCGGCGGCCGCATTTCTGATGCAGGTGGAAATGTAGGCCCGTGTGCTCAGATTTGGGTGCACGTTAAAGCACCCCGGGTGGTCAAAATTTCCGGAGCCCTCCACTGCGGCGTCTCTCATATTCATATGGTGGTTTTGGGACGTTAAACCCCACAAATCAATCAAAACCCGCGCCACCTCTCTCCAACTGTCAGAGAGAAAAAGCCGCGAACCGGCGGATGCACTCGCTGCGCGCGCTTCGAGGATTTCGCCGAAATGTGGACACCGCGCCGCTGCTTGCCGCGCGATCACGCCGACGGGCGGGTCGCCGTCGCGGCATGCTTCCCCCTGCGTACCTTCTCCGGCTGTTGCCGGCGTTGAGATGATTAGCGCAGCCGATCGTGTTCGCTAATGGCGACGTCAACATCGACGAGGTGTGAGCCAGAGAAGCCGAGCGCAAGCGTTTTTAGGGGAAGACCAGGAAGACACTAGACGTTACGCACATATCATCGGTCGCAGTGACACCGGTCATAATTGTGAACACTGTGATGTGCCAGAAACACTTGAGCACATATTTTGTGTCTGCCCAGCATACGCACGTGAACGACAAACACTGATTTCTTCTACTGAGCTATATCGCAGTAGGTCATAAACTGATCAGACCATGTTGGGCCCTTGGCCAGACACCAACAGTGCAACTGCGGTCACAAGAGCAGTTATAACCTTTTTGGAAACAACTGGACTATGTGCGTGGCTATGAAATGTGTCTCAGCTAGAAAGAACACTACACACTCACCTCTATATCTCACCATCGTCATCCATTAATCTTTCTTTTCCTCTTTCCCTTCCCCCAGTGTAGAGTAGCAGGCTAGAGCAAGCTATCGCTCAGGCCGACCTCTCTGCCTTTCTGTAAATAAACTTACCTCCTCCGAAATATTTCAGTACTAATGCGTGGTACAAGCGCCCATTGACATCAAGTATCGGGACATATGATTATCATAATGACTTCGTGGTTTAAAGGCGGTCACCCTCTACAAAAGGCGCACACGCTACGGCGCCTATTCCCTTAAGGCCACATAGTGGGATCCTATTCCTTTCGGGGAGATGATCATAGATTTAGAGGCGAAGCTCCTCTTAGTTTAACCTTGTCATGCGTCACGCGTAACCAAGAGAAGAGAAGACAAATAGAAGAACGCAGTATTTCCCTAATAGACGGCGTTGTGTCGTAAAAGTACATACAAACTGCAGTTGAGTGAGGATATTCTAGATGGTTCTGTATCGCTGCTCTCTGATTGGCTGCTGCGCGGGCTGTGCCTGCGTGCGTGGAGAACGAGTGCCTCTCTCAGTCTCCTGGATAGTCGCCGTACGTGGCGGATCGTTGGTGGGGCATGGAAGAAGCAGAGCGCTGGGTACGATGAAGACGTTTGCGCTCGGCTTCCTTTGCTTGCGTCTCGTCGGACTTACCCGCGCGCCGTCTGCATTCTCGAACGCGATTGGACGCATGGGCCCATGCACTGAGGGACGGACACGCATGGACGGATGGATGGACGAATGCTTTTTGCAGGGTATTTTGCAGCGGCTTTTCGAGTTCCGGCATGGCTCTGTGGTAGAATACTAGGTTGTGCCGAAGAGGACCCGGGTTCGATTCGTAGTCAATATTGATTATTTTATTTTTATTTTCTAATTTCCCTCTAGCTTTCTTTCTTTCTATTGCGCAGTTGTTCCCTTTTTCGATTTTTACCCGGCATTTTGCCCCTTGAGTGCGGAGCACTCAAGGGGCAAAATGCCCCCAACTTTCCTTTATCACCTGCCCTCCCCCCTCCGAGGGCAAGCATAGTCAAAGCACAATACATACGTTGCCAGCCTCCCTGCCCACCCTGAAGAAATTCGTCGTGGGTTCCCTCCCAGTAATTAAATGTTGGCGCCACCTCTGCTCTGCGGCGCGAGTGCTCACTACAGTTGGCTAGGCTATATGTGCGTTCGCCTGCGTTACGCTAGGTGGCATAACGACTGCATACGACGTCCCAAACCACTAAAATGTTCCTCACTTTATAAGTGGCAAATTTGCGATTTTCATGGCGTCTTGTGTGAATACGCCGCACAGTGAAAATAAGCGGGATGACATTGATTGATTGATTTGTGGGGTTTAACGTCCCAAAACCACCATTTGATTATAAGAGACGCCGTAGTGGAGGGATCCGGAAATTTCGACCACCTGGGGTTCTTTAACGTGCACCCAAATCTGAGCACACGGGCCTACAACATTTCCGCCTCCATCGGAGATGCAGCCGCCGCAGCCGGGATTTGAACCCGCGAAAGCGGGATGACATATCCCCCCTTGTTTTCTCCTGTCCTTCTCGGATTCGGTTCCATGTGATTTTACGCTGAGTAATATTCTTGTACACTTATGTTACAGCAAATTATAGGTTTTTAGGAATAAGTAATGTTCAAGGTACAAACCCCTTCGGCATTTGATGCTCCGTTGTTCCCACGCATTTCTGGAACACAGCAAAATCCATATTCACTTCAGTGATAAGCTGGTGAAAGTCACGATGACCGTTATTCCTGGCCTAGGAGGCCAATGGTGAATAGTAAGAAAGATAATCATAACGAACCCAGATTACGATAATATGGCGTGGCTCACTATCATATTGTGGCTACAGAACCCCCCAAGAATACTAATTGGCCCACCAGGGGTATGCCCAGTCTCAACGGACAAAGACTATAGTTCAAATGAACGGTGGCCGGAGCCACAATATTGCGACACGTCACGTAAATGTTCACGAACATGCCAATAGCGAGATAGCCAAGTGTATTCGGTTTTCCAAGGATGGCCGGCGGGCAATCTGAAAGCAACCAATCTTGCTGTTGGCCCATCTGAAAGCCCACACCCTAAAAAAGCGCTTGTTCATTCTTTATCGACAGATAAGACTACGCGCACCATATCACTTTTTTCTTTTTTTCTTTTTTTCCAGAGGCTGCAAGCAACCGTATCTTTACCGCAGTTGTCAAGAAAAAGCTGCCTGTTGGAGTGCTTTCCGCCGGCCACCCCTGGTTCGGAAAATGGAAAGTTACACTCGATATCGGTGCGCATGGGTAAAAAACACAGCGCCGCGTGTTGCACTACTGTCGCTCCGGCAACCGGTCACTTGTGCTAGTTTTTTTTTTTTTTTGAGTCTGTACTTTTTTTTTTTTGACACTGTACTTCTCGGTTGTTTTTTTATGGGCTCGCTCTGCGTGCATGATGAAAATTAACGTGGTTGACGACATAGCACTTCATCATCTCAAGCTTCAAACAGCCGCGCTAAAGTCCTCTCTGTCGCACGACGCCAGACCACCAGCTTAGTGTTTGGCTCATCTATTTAAAAAAGTTGTGGTGGTTACCTTGAAATCTTCCATCATCTTGATAATATCGTCTCGCGTCTTGACGTAGTCCAACTCGTGAAGCAACTGGGAGAAACAGCGCTCGTGTGCGTTATTTCGGATCGCCATAAAAAGCGTTTCGTGTTAGCAACTCACAATATACTTGTCCTCAACGAAGTCATACAGGCACAGCAGCAACTCCGTCAGCTGAAACCACGAAAAAGAAGAAAAAAAAATGGTTGAGTGATTTGTTAGCATCATGCGTAAAAGAAAAAAAAAAAGCACCCGCAATAGTGTCCGTATTTGAGCAATGACCACGATAAAAGGATGTATGCGCATGATGTGGGCGCCCCATTTATGACAGTCGTGCATGAGCTGCCAAGATTATACGGCTTGGAAGGGCCCCGCAACACCTTTCCATGAAGGTAAAAGAACGCTGCTGGTCGGTGTAGTCAATGCTCTTGCGAGGACGCGAGCCACATATCATAATGAAACTCATGCTCTCGAATTTACAATCAATTCATAAAGCTAGCTAGAAATCTTTTCATGTTTCTCTAAATGATGCCATGTAACCAAGGTTGAAGTTTATTAGCATGAAACAAATAAAAACAAATTGCAAACGTTGTATGCATAACCTCATAGATTGTAATTGACAGTTGCGATCATCAATGACATTTCAATTCACGGCCATTGGTCCAGTTGAGCATTGCGAGCTGCATAAACAGGAGGCTGCCACGTGCCAGCTCGCGCGCTTGCGATCACACTGAAACTGAGCCATGCGTTCGAACACACACACACACACACACACACACACACACACACACACACACACACACACACACACACACACACACACACACACACACACACACACACACACACACACACACACACACACACACACACACACACACACACACACACACACACACCGGCGATCACGACAACGTTTAATGCGAATTTGAGCATGGCTGTTTAGGGGTTTTGATTTTGCGATAAGTTGAGGCATGACTGCCTCGCTGACCGAGAGAGGGCAGCGCATGGCCGCGTTCCACAACAGCCACCGCAGACAGGCCTTCATCCATGTAACGCTTTATTTTCACATTGAATGTAAACATTCGACAGAAGTCTGTCTGGTTGGGTATAAAACTGAGAGATGATTTAAACTCCAACCAAAGTTTTGAAGAGACCCGACGCTTCGAAACCGACTTGGTTCCTTCCTCAGGGGCGACTGCGGGACTACGTAGCAGCGGCGTCTTCAAAGCACTCGCGGGGCGGGTAATGACCTCTCTCTCTCTCGTTTTGCCGTGAAGCGTAGTTCATGTGTATTCACCGGGGGAAGGGTTCCGAGAGAGTGGTTGGTGTTATGGGCTGTCCTCTGTATGTGCCACGACTCGAGTAATAACCTTCTCCCCCAGTTCGGCTCGTGTTCCTTATTTACAGAGCGTGCCGCGGCGCATCACTGAAAGGCGCAGAACGAGAGCGTCGTCTTCTCGCGCCGCAATATAATGATTGATTGATATGTGGGGTTTAACGTCCCAAAACCACCATATGATTATGAGAGACGCCGTAGTGGAGGACGCCGCAATATAAGCGAAGGAAAGTACGAACTTTCCATTGGAAACGACGAGAGAACACATGAGTAATTTTAACGTGTGAACGTTAAGAAAAAAAAAAAAACCTGAAATCGACATCGCCTGACCCGACGAATGCAAAGCATAAATATCACAGTCCAAGCAGAAATCGAACCCAAGCATTCTGCGTGGCAATGAAGCAATCTACCTCAGAGCCACGCCAGTTCTCGGAACTACTTTTCAAATAGACCCTAAAGTTCGTGAAACGTCGATTTGGTTGCAGTGCTGGCAATTTCATAAACGTTACATCTATTCCTATGATACAGCCGTCACGCTGGCTTTAATTGTAGTTATGTACCATGCTCTGAAGTCGATTTATGTAGCACTGTCCACGGCTGCCGTCCTCGCGAGCCCCAGCGCTTTATCAGCTTCTGGTGTTGCTAATACTCGATCATGTTCCCATTGGCATCATTGTGCAAGTTCAAACAACTGCTTATATTAAATCTACAACTGTTCGACATATATGTCTGTGCATGCAACATTCGTACATATTGCTACATGCATGTATACTGAGATTCTAGGGGGCGACGCGCGTGTGTGCCTCACTAGGAAGACGAAGGGTTGTCTCCGCTCGATCGCTGGTGGACTGGTCACGCCATTACCGCTGGTTTCAAATACATTTAATCCACAGCCTCGTCGATACGACGTCTCTTCTTTTCCGTAACATATTTGGTCGAGGTGGAACGTTCCCCGTCCTCACCACGAAGCTTCGCAATGGCCGCACCGTTGAGCCTCTGGCCAAGGCTACCAATAACAACAACAACCCATCAGCGTCTCCATCTGTAGCTCTAGCCACCACATACCTGACGATGCCCACCCCCGTGATTCCGGTGCATTCTCCGCACAACCTGTGCTTGACATTAACTACTGGCTCCGTATGTACGAGCGTGTTAGCCAGACACACCGATGGGACCCTACAATGATGCTCGTCAACGTAATATTTTACTTGGACGGCACGGCACCCCACGTGTTTGGTTCGACGCCCATGAGACCAAGCTCCTTGGATATCTTCAAGGAGTGACTACGCGACCTCTTTGGGGACCCGTCCGGTCACCAAATGGAAGCGCGAAAAGAACTCGCCGTGCACTCGTGCACAGTCATCAACTGAGTCGTACGTATGTCTCGTACATACAGGACGTGCTCGCGTTGTGCCGGAAAGTGGACGAGCAAATGACAGAGAGTGACAAGGTGGGCCACATATTCAAGGGCATCGTGGACGACGCCTTCAACTTGCTCGTCTACATCACCGTCACCACCGTAGATATGATTATCAAGGAATGCCGCCGCATCGAAATGGCCAAATGTTCTGCCTCAATTTACGCGGATACCAAACACGGCTGTTACATCAACCTGCACCGATCCCGGTGCTGCACCACCCATGTAGGACAGCGTGACACGAATAGTTCGACGGGAGCTTGAGGCGTCAAGTCCGGCACCATTTCCTCCACATCCGCTCGACCATGGCGCCGCACAAACGCCTCCGGTGGTTTCCGTTATTCAGGCCGTCGTGAGACAGGAAATTGCAAAGCTCAGTTTTCCTGTGGCATGCTCTGTCTCCCGACCCGCCTCCAGACCAATGACATTAATGCACCATGCCATGACTCACATTTTCTTTCGCGATACCGCTATCCCACGGAATGGAGAACTGCAGACGACAAACCGATCTGCTTCCGCTGCCACCAAGTTGGCCATATCTCCCGGTACTGCCGCAGCACTTGGACGCCCTCAAACTGGAGCCCATTTTCCTCTTCTCGCCCACACGAGGACTCCCGTCAGTATTCGCCCAGTCGTGTGTGCTCTTCTTCCGACATCCTTAACAGCCACTCCACTGCTCGTTCGCCTCCACATCAACGCCGCCGTTCCCCATCACCCCAACCACGCCGCTATGTATCCTCTCAGACGGAAAACTAGACCATGCAGCTCCAGGACGTAGTTCTCCGTCAATTGCAAACGATCCAAATCCTCCGTTCACGCTCCCCACTAATACGAACTTGATTGAAGTGTATGTGCACGCTATTTCTTCGACGGCGTTAGTTGATACCGGAGCTCAAGTGTCCATAATGAGTGCTCACATGTGTTGCCTACTCAAAAAAGTCATCACGCCTGCAGCGACAGAAACCCTCCGTGTAGCTGATGGTGTAATTGTGGCCATCACTGGAATGTGTACCGCTCGTGTTAGCATTGCCGGCCGCCATGTCCCCGTTTTATTTACGGTGCTTGAAAATTGCCCGCACGATCTAATCTCCAGAATGGACTTCCTATCGACGCCTTCTGCCCTGATCGATTGTGCCACCGGTACTCTCTGCCTAGAAATTCCTTTCCTCCCGGATTCTCAACCTGAACTCCCGAACAGCTTGTGCACCACTGACTTCTTCCGGATACCACCTAAAGCTCTCACATTCATCGAATTGGCAACACCCTCTCCCGTGCTCGACGGTGATCATATCGTGACGCCGATTACTGATGTTCTCCTGGCGCGCGACATAATATACTGTCCCACACTGCGTCGTAACCATGGCCTCTAACCGAACATATTTACCTGTTATCAATTTTGGTTTCATAAAACAAGTGCTACCTAATGGAATATCAGTCGCCACGCTAAGACTCTTAATTGACAACCACATCACCTGTTTTGCGGCAGACGTATGTCCCGATCACCCACGTCACTCGCAGGATGCCGCGTGCCTCGATGCAACCTTACGCTCCATGATCGCCCCGGACCTCGAACTTGAGAAGTCAGCCGCGCTCTGCCGCCTTCTGGCTTCATACCGCGCGATATTTGACATAGACAGCCGTCCACTCGGCCAGACTTCACTCGTGAAGCACCGCATTAACACAGGTAATTCTCATTCGCAACCATCGCACGACCCCTCACTGAGCTTCTGAAGAAAGACGTCACGTTTACGTGGGGTACCGACCAAGCTGCTGCTTTTTCTCATCTAATCACGCTGCTGACGACTCTACCTATATTGGCTCACTTTGACCCATCCGCTCCGACAGAAGTCCGAACCGATGCTAGTGGTCACGGGATCCGAGCTGTCCTCGCTCAACGCCAACGGGGACACGACCGAGTTGTCGCCCACGCTAGCCGCCTTCTCACAGCTGCTGAGCGCAACTATTTCATTGCGGAGCGTCAATGTCTTGTTCTTGTTTGGGCAGTCTCAAAGTTCCTCCCATATTTATATGGCACAAATTTCTCTGTAATAACTGACCATCATGCGCTATGTTGGCTTACGTCACTGAAGGATCCTACTGGCCGGCTCGGGCGCTGGGCTCTGTAACTGCAAGAGTATACTTACACGGTGACGTACAAGTCCGGACGCCTACATCAGGACACAGACTGCCTGTCCCGCTACCCGGTTGCTGAATCAAGCACTATGCCTGAAACCGACAACGAGCCTTGCGTCTTTTCCCTTTCGCAAATGACATCCATCGGTGACGAGCAGCGTCATGATGCGTCCTTGCCTGCTATCATTGAGCGCCTCGAATCACCATGTTCCAATCAGTCCCATCGGTCATTCGTGCTCCACTATGGTGTAATATACAACCAAAGCTTTGAGCCGGATGGACCAGCCCTGCAGCTTGTCATTCCGAAACACCTTCGCTCGGAAGTTCTAAATGAGCTTCATGACCTTCCGACTGCCGGTCACCTTGGTGTGTCACGCACTTACGACCGAATACGCCGACGCTTCTTCTGTCCAGGGCTTGCACGCTCAGTCAGAAGATACGTTGCGGCTTGTGAGCAATGTCAGCGCCGCAAAACGCCATCGACACTTCCCGCCGGACGCCTTCAACCACTTGACATTCCGTCAGAACCATTCTTCCGCGTTGGCTTGGACCTACTTGGCCCTTTCCCCTTGTCTTCCTCGGGTAACAAGTGGATAGCTGTAGCCACCGACTACGCCACGCGTTATGCCATCACACGAGCTCTTCCAACAAGCTGCGCCACAGACGTCGCCGACTTCCTCCTCAAGGACGGTATTTTGCAACACGGAGCCCCACGGCAGCTGCTTACAGACCGTGGCCGCGCCTTTTTTGTCGAAGGTCATAGCCGACATCTTGCAGCCCTGTCAAAAGAAACACAACCTGACTACGTCATACCATCCGCAAACCAACGGACTCACGGAGCGTCGAAATAGAACTCTTAAAGACATGCTCGCTAAGCATGTTTCTACCAACCACACCGACTGGGATCTTGCGTTGCCGTACGTCACATTTGCCTATAATTTTTCGCGCCATGACACTGCCGGTTACTCTCCATTTTTAGATGCGGAGCATCTAATACTCGAGGCTTGTAGTGCGGCGCCGTCCGCAAGCTTCCTCCTACTTCTTCCACCATCTGTGCATCCCTTCCTCCTCTACACACCGCGCGCGCTTCACTCCTCCACCATCTGTGCACCCTTCCTCCTCTACACACCGCGTGCGCTTCTCCTCTTCACGAACATTCGCTAGCTGTATAATGTAGCGCGCATGCGCCGTCACGCTTCGAGAACATCGGCAGCTGACGCGCGCGCATGCGCCGTTGCGCTTCTCCCCCTTCTCGAACATTCGACAGCTGACAGTGCATGCGCCGTCGCGCTGTATATATACTCAAGGTCGGTGCTCGCTCGCTCAGTTGCCGCTCGTTGGTTGGTTTGTACGGCGCGTCGACGTCCGAGGTCGCAATGATCGACGTCCCTTCGACCAGCGCCGGCCAAAGTGGCATCTAAAAGCCATCGCGCTCAAAGTTCGTCGCAATAAATAAACACCGCCCTTTCGCATACGTGTCGTACGTGTTCACTCATTTAACACCCCTCCTACAACCACGTTAACCAATTTAGCCAGCGACCCAAGTAAGTCGCAATTTAACACCCTATTTCACAACCACGTTAACCAATTTAGCCATCGACCCAAGTAAGTCGCACTTTAACACCCCGTTAACCAATTATATGCTCCGCATCCTCCTCAGTGTTCCCCCGAGGGAAGCTGCGGGCAATTTTTTTCTGCTGTTTGGCTGAGAACAAACATTGCCTCTAGACAACGTCATACCGTCCCCTGCAGTACCGACCAGTGAATATGCCATGGACGCTATCACTCGGGCCGCTCACGCACGCGAAATCACCCGTACTCGCTTTCTGAGCTCTCAAGAGAACCAACGTCGTTTGTATGGCCAACGACACCACGACGTACACTTTTCGCCCGGTTCTTCGGTCCTGCTTTGGTCTCCGACCCGTCAAGTTGGACTGTCAGAAAAACTGCTTACTCGCTACACAGGTCCATACCTAGTCCTTCGTGTGGTTACTCCTGTGACATATGAAGTTGTTCCTGTCGCCCACTCGCCTTCATGTGCCCAACAGGCTACCGATATTGTACATGTCGCGCGCTTAAAGCATTACCACTCTCCTAGTGACGTTGACCTTTAGATGCACCGAGACGGCGCTTCTGCTGCCGGGGATTATGCTACACGCATGCATACTGAGATTCTAGGGGGCGACGCGCGTGTGTGACTGACGAGGAAGACAAAGCTTCGTCTACGCTCGATCGCTGGTGAACTGGTCACGTCATTACCGATGGTTTCAAATACATCTAATCCACAGCCTCGTCGATACGGCGTCTCTTCTTTTCCGTAACAATATGTTTAGCGTCATTTTCATAAGACATTGCTCAATAGATGGCTTGCACTGACGTCAATGAAACAGCGACGTTGGTTCACTAACATTGTTGGACTCGAACTTCGTGATGTCACGTTATTGTTATCCCGGCTTCGCATCCTTCGTTTTTCATGTACAGATGCCCAATGACGTACCAGCGACGTCGTTACCACACTGATCAATTGCCGCGTGATTATACGGCTTTGTCATCGTCGAAGCCGCCATGTTGGTGGCATGTTTCTATGACGTCACGTGCAAGCTGTCCATAAACGAATTACAACACGGTCACCTTCCTCCGCATGCTTCGCGTCACGTTAATTTTACGAGATCGCGAAACGTGACTTTACGTAACCTTTCGCAATTAATTCTGGGTTATTTTTGTAGTTCGTAATATTTTACTTTCTTAGTTTGTTGCACCGGCTTTGAGCGCTGTCAGCCTCGTTTTAGGTCTATATTGACCATGGCATGACTATGCGTCATAAGACGGTGCACGACGAGCTTAAATTACTCCGCACTAAAAGGAAAGGCGTCTGTGCAAGCGTTCTCACATGGTCAAGCATAAGCGTTGCGCAGGGTCCCCCATCAATGTGGGACTCCATATTAAATCACTGCATGGGTCAGACTTTGCGCCAACCCCCATTTTTTAGGTGCTCACCGAGTCGGCGTCTACGCACCATCCAGCCATCTTCAGATCGATTTCGAACAATGCCAAGCAACCCATTGACACCAGCATGTCCCTCGTTGTCATATTGCCAAAATCCTGGAAAAGAAGGACTCGATCGTTTGAATTCGCTTATCACATCTCTGACACAGTTCGGCAAAATAAGTTGAGACAAAGCAACATAACATACAACTGTATGGTTGTTGTCTGCCATTATTTATGCGTATTGTGGGCCTAATCGCGTTGGTGCCCTAACAAAAAATAATAAGTAGGCGTCGCTGTTTCGGTCAATAGAAATTAGCGGCACAGCCAATGGTGATCGGCCGAGCCTATAATAGCAATGACGTTCGAGGTTTAACGTGGAAACACCACGACATGATTACGAGAAACGCCGTGGTGTAGAGGGCTCCAGAAATGTCGACCATCTATAAAGTCATTTCCGCGAACCTCCATCGTGGTGCACATCTTGGTGCACGCGTCCATGTTTTTCATGAGCACCCGGCAAGATTACACCACGCGGTGTATCGTTGAGTCGGCCATCCATGAATTAGGCTAAGATTGTGTCAGCGCACAATCATTATCCAGCAAGGAATTGGCATTTCTTGATGCCTCCACATTCACACGTGCCTTATGGCCACAATTTTTCATGCATATTTTTTAATTTGGCTTTTGATGAATCATTGTTTAAGGTTAGCGCTTGTCTGTGTGTGTTACACCATGTGCCGTTCCCGTCATTAAAAGTGGTGCGCTTTACTTTGTGAATACATTAGGTATGGAACTGCGCCGACGCCGACTGTAAGTCTTGTATGCTTTACAATGTACAATATTACATTTAAGCACTTACTTACAATGAATCCTTTTCAAGACAGCTTGCGCAATGTGAAGACGTTTTACCTTCTATGCAAACAGCGAGCTTCTTGCATGCCAGATAGGTTGCCAGACCAGAAAAGGGCCACCTGATAGCAAGATGGCGGTGCCCACAAAAAAAAAAAACGTTGCGCGTGACGTCATTTCCGGCTGGAAAAGTGAGTGACCGCCATGTTTTTCAACATTGAGTCTGGCTGCGCGTACATGCAGTTACCGGTGGTTGGGAGCTTGTCGGCGTCATTCGTGCGATATAACGAAAGAAAACGTGCCCGCGCTTTGCCGGTCGGCGAAGAGCTTGTGGGACCGACTTGTGTACGCTACCGAGCGAAAATTGAAATGTGCGATGGCATATCAACCCATACGAAGTGTGCATCGGTATGAAGCTACACCAATCTGCTGCCTTCCATGACCCCCGGCGACATCGTCAGCTACTGGTGCTTTCTACAAGTGACGTCCCGCAGATGAAGGCCTGCAAGTCGCTGAACGGCCACAACTACTTCACCATGCTGAGGATAGGTGAAGAGCATAGCAGCAAAGCAGCTCCCATCACAGCGTGTCGTCGTTCTAATCGAGGGGAGTTACGAAGCTCTTTCCCGCGGTTGAAGTCAAACATGGGCTTCGACTTGATTTTGTAGTGAGGAGTGCGAACCCGTGTTGCATCATGGTGGGAGAAATTTCGGTGTTGTTTGGGAGGCGCTAATGCCCCTTTCGCGCGCTCCTGCCTACTACGCCCATGTTCAGATGTCACCACAGTTTTGCTCGTTTCAGCAGTGTCTCAATGCTTGGTTTATTTTCCTCTCGAGAGCTACGGTTTCATGGGATCTATGTACTGCTGATGGTTCATCCCGCTCTGGTTCTGCGTCTACGTTCAAGTGATGTTCCCGATTCCGTGGACGGCGTGCCCGTTGCGACTACATCCAGCGTGTTCGTCCTTCCCCCGCCGCGGTGGTCATGTGGCACTCGGATGCTGACCCACCGGTCGCGGGATCGAATCCCGGCTGCATTTTCGATGGAGGCGGAAATCGTGTAAGCCCGTGTGCTCAGATTTGGGTGAACGTTAAAGAACCCCAGGTGGTCGAAATTTCCGGAGCCCTCCACTACGGCGTCTCTCATAATCATATGGTGGTTTTGGAACGTTAAACCCCACATATCAATCAATCAATCAATCAATCAATCAATCAATCGTGTTCGTCCTTCACTTTTTAGAGCAGTGAAATCGCGCTGATGCTGTGGCAGTAGTCTGGTCATAAGGGTCGTAACCCAGCAATCAGTATACGCTCGGTTCACAGTCGCGGTTTGCGTCGTCCATTAAATTGGTGGGTTAAAAGAAGACACGTTCACATATCATTCACTGTTAGCCTCATTTAACAACACGAGATGCGTCTTTTCAAGTGGAAAAGGTCGGCTGTACAACGCTGTGAATCTATATATAGTTGGCATTCCGGAGAAAGCGACGTGATCACGTAAGTAAACGTGGCAAACTTGTACATAACTCGAAAACACCCTTACTTGTGATGAAGGGATGACTGCAGTCCCGGATTGGGGTGCAACGTCCCAAAACCACTATATGATTGTGAGAGATGCCGCCTAGTTGAGGGCTACGGAAATTTCGACCATATGGGGTTCTTCAACGTCCACCTAAATCTAAGCATACGGGTCCAAGCATTTTTGCCTCCACCATTTTGGTGTTGTTTGGGAGGCGCTAATGCCCCTTTTGCGGCCGCGATTCCATTCCGCGACCTGCGGGTCAGCAGCCGAGTGCCTTAGCCACTAAACCAACGTGGGGGGTAATATTGTGAATTCAAAACTGCACACATAGTCCTGGTGAAGCCGGTAGCGCGACCGAAGACACGATTTCGCCACTGCAAAGCTCCTGACTACGTTTTCAGGCAGCTGCGTTTGTTTGCAACATGGCGGTCCTCTCGTTCCCGAACGTGACGTACGTGCTACCCATGTATGGCGAAGATTGCATTGAGTGATTGTGCATCAGTTTATTGTATTTTGCAATTTTTGTTAAGAGCCTGTAGCTTGACCATGTGACCGCATGAGTGAATATATCACGCGTACGTGAATAAACAGTTGGTAGTCTACCCGCTTTCCTGTCTCCTTCTCTGCTTCCTGTGTTCGTTATTTTTATGGTTGGAATTTTTTCTGAAGCAATGCACCAACTAGTTCAACAACGAGTGTTATTACAGTAACATTACTCTCAGGAGAGAGTATAATTACTCCCACAAAAGAGTTGAAGAGACACGTTAAATTTCTTTGGAAATATAACACTACATTGAGAAGGGAGTATAATGAACCCTACAAGAGCGTTAAGAGCCTTCTTATAGAAAGTCGTATACGTGACAATCCAGAAATTTCGAAAAAGGCTCGAAGCACTTTTTTTTTAGAGAGTTTGTATTTCTCGCAGGATAAGTCACTTATTGCAAAATTAGGTTATTTTAAATTTGTTACAAACTTCTCGCAATATTATGACTCTACAAGAGAGTTGTCTTCGTTTTCAAACATAATCACAAAGGTCGATGACGAGGATATGATTGACAAGCTAACTACGCTTTTAGTAAACTGCGCATTTCACTCAGCTTGTGTGTCCGGCTGCCGTAGTCATGAACCACCCGCGGAAGCGCATTTTTCGCATCGCATTTATTCTAATAACGTTCTTTTAACTTTCAGAGCGTGACTGTAGCCTACTTAGTGAGCATACTCACTTCGGCGAAGCGCGTTCAGTTAGTCGAAAATGCAGTGAGCCGTTACGTCATGACGTGCTTGACCACGTCGATGAACCAAACCCGCCAGCACATTCCCAGTGTAAAGAGAAAAAAATAATGAAATATACAGCAACAGGACACTTAAACAAAGTTGACTAGTCTGAATTTACGTATGAACGTGTTCAGGTGTTTGATAATGATGCAGGTAATGCGTGCCGGCATAGAGGTGCGTCAGGTGGCCGGGTGGCTTCGTTAAACCTTATGCAAAGGCTAACGACATCAAAGTTTATGCACGGCCTCCGAGATGTGAGTCTGAAAGCGTTGAAAGCGCATTCCGTCGAGGTGAGGTCCAATACTTACTGTATATAGGCAGCTAAGAAGACGGCGGTCATCTGCGGTCCCATTCCAACTTTCACGTGGCCGGCAAAACAGACAGCTTCAAGAAGACAGCATCGTAGTCAAAAATGATGCAAGCAACTTTGCTGTCTAAACAAGATTGCGGGTCAGAGAACTGCTCGGATCTCGCCGGAATGGTCGTCTGCACACAAGCCTGCAGACGTTTTTTCCAGATGGTCATTGGGAGCAACGGAAGAGTCTATTTGCACCTCAACAGCTCGGGGTCACGTGACCCAAGGTTAAACGTCAGGTGTGTCGTCGCTGAAAAAGCGATCGGCTGCAACTGGCTACGCCTTGTCAAGCAACTTTGATGTGAAAAGACAAAAAAAGGGGGGGGGAGAGTTTTTTTTTTTATGAAAGAGACAAAAGCTTAGCAGGTGGGGAAGGCGCGTTTTGTTGCCATCAATGTACGCTTCCCCGCTGCGTGCCCTGTCGGATTAAAGAGCCCGGTAAACGAAGCCCGCGTAATCGAAGTCTCTCCTGGACGTGTCCTGTGCTGTTGTGTAGGTATGATAGTAATCAGTCTTGTCCAGGGGAGTGCCAAGTGTGTTGTGTTTGAGGAGCCTACATGAACGGCCAGTCATGTAGGCACCCTGTTGTGGGACGGTTAACATGCTTAAGAACATGTTTGCCGGCACTTGCTGATACGGCTTTTAGCGCCATACTTTTTACACCAAAGGAATATACTGAAGTCTACTGGTGCACAGCCCGGAGTCTTCCCGATGGCCATTTGGTTGTCTCGGGGCGTTACACAATATATAGACGATTCTAATTTTTGAAGTAACCAGTGAGCAGTCGACAACTACAGGGGTCAAGGAACTTGACGTCAGTGCAGTCCGGAGCGTGCCTTTTCAGTGTTTTAGAGAAATGTGCTGACCAGTTGTTCTACATACGCACGGCAACACACGACTCGCCAGTGAGACGAGCGCTCGCTCTGTTCTCTTGCCTAGGTGATCTTTGTGAAGGTCGTTCGGTGGAATCCGTGCCGGTAGCATTTTTGATGGAGGCAAATATGTTTGATACCCGCGTGCTCAGATTTCATGGGCAAGTTAAGAACCCCATGGTGATGGAAATTACCACAACCCTCCACGGCGTCCCCAATAATCTTATCTGCTTTAGGTATTTTAAACTCTGACAAATATTAATACTCTTCAGGCAATTTACCCCGCGGTGTGAATTGGTACAATGTGGAAGAAAACGGGGTACCACGGCGCAGTGAGGCAAACTATGAATCAAGCCGCCAAGTTAACGAACTGCGCAGCGTGGATGACGACCACAAGACAAGTGACCTCAAACTCGTTTGACAAGATGTAGCCAGTTCAGTGCCAGTTGGAGCCGATCACTTTACCTTTGACGTCATATGTGACGTTTACCTTGGTCACGTGACCCCGAACTGTTGAGGTGCAACTAGACTCTCCCGTGAGCAACGTTCAATTTTTGTACACTTGAACACGAAATGAGCTATAACAAAACAATTACTTTTGTTTCTCTTAGCTTTTTTTTCTCGACGCGAGGTGACGTCACGTCGTGTAGACGTCTTCTAAACGCGTTCCGTTCCACGGACTCTGACATGGGCTCGTCTTCTAAGCATGCAGTCAGCGTAGAGTGCCTTCGATGCTGTCCGGAATTGGAACACAGCCTCTTCAATTCTGTGGAGAGTTGTGAAAGCTTAGGGAACTTAAAATGACGCCGTGGAAGAAAAACCAGAAACAGGGGGTGCGCTTCTGGAGGCCGACGTGGATAATCTATTAGGTGGATACATCGAGAATCAAGTCCCAAAATTCTCGTCCTAGCTCCGAGGAAAGCTAGTGAAGCAACAGCAAGAAGCGTGCCTCCCACGGATGGGGCGTCAACGCCAGGATGACCTCACCGTCTCGTTGCTCTCGCACGTGGACTCGTTGATCCAACGATCCCGGAAGTCCAAGCACTTGTCATCATCGTGTGGTCCTGCAGAAATGCAACATTTCTCACACTAAAAAAACAACAAATACCTGGGACTCCTTTCGGGTGGTCCTGACTTGCCACGACTCTCTTTAAAGGGAAACTAACGAGAAAAACTAGTTCTCGCATTTAGTAAAGTTCACAGTCCAGAAAACACCACGCTTACCGCGAGACGACACTTGATAGGCAAGAAAACGCGCGAAAAGTAAATGTGGGTAGAGACGCCATCTTGAGATTCCCGCGCCAAACACCGTGACATCACAAACTTTGAAGGCGTCTACTGGTTGCTACGTAGAATCTAATCAGTGAAGATGTACTACATTGTCGTCTGTTTGTGCCATAATCTATGCAGAATTAATATACGAAGTTACAAGAAATTTCATGGAGCCAATGCGGCCAAATACGTGTGGAGATTACGACGCCATATTTGAAAATAAACTTCAACCTTCGTGTACTTGTCCTTCGTGTACTTGTCACGTGGTTGAATAAACTCAAACTCAAACTCAAACCTCGATGTTCTCCGCTAATAATGAACTTATGATAGCGAAACTTCCGACATTAGGTTCTCAAAGTACAGCTTATCACTCTATACCATGCCATTGTTTCAATTTAGTGCCCTTTTAAAGGTACGTACACTTTAACTCTCTTATGGTGTCACGTGACTTTCAGCTGAGAGTACAATGACCCCATAAAGAGTTGGAGTGCTTCTTTAACTACAGACATATACGTGATGACTCAGAACTCTAAGAAATTTTGAATTCAGCGTACATCATCGTCAACATGTTCTTGCGGCCACAATGACACAGATGAATATCACCTGTCGCTCGAATGTAACAAACACGGCACACATAGGCGGTGGCTCGAACGGGAACTCTACACACTAGACTCGAAGCAAACGTTTTCATTAGAGAAAGTACTCGGCATATGGCTCCTGAAAAAAAAAAACGCAAATCAATGAAAGTGTTGTTATGATCTTTTGGAGACACCACACCAATATTTGTGATGAATAATTAGCGCGGACTATAATATATGGAATTTAATATATATATATATATATATATATATATATATGAGATATAACAGACAGTAATGCCAAGGAATGTGCAGGGGAAGTTATTAAAACCAATGGAATGTAAATAAGAAGAAAGAAAAGTGGATGAAAAAATTACCATCATCGGCATCGCGCTCGATTTAATAGAAAGCTACCTTAGTGATCGGTACCAGTGTGTGTCTATAAATAGGCAAACATCTATGCCCAAAAAAATCAAACGCGGTGTACCACAGGGAAGCATATTAGGACCTCTTCTATTTAACCTTTATATCAATGATATTGTAAATGTGGATCACTCAATAACTTACATTATTTATGCAGATGATACAAGCTTATTCTTTACGGGAACAAATATAGACGATTTGATAAAAGCAGCTAATAAAACGTTAGTCAATTTTTTGAAATGGTCCTGCCAAAATTCGTTACAGATCAACAGCTCTAAAACCAAGGCCGTTCTTTTCCGTGCGAAAGGAATAACATGTACGTACACACGAAAACTGATGCTAAATAATTTCAATATCGAACTTTCAGAGACTGTCAAAACTTTGGGCGTCATCTTTCATCAACATATGTTCTGGAATTCTCACACTGAACAATTGTGTATTAAGCTAAGAAAAGCCCTTGGCGTGCTGAGAAGGTGTCAGTCGTTTCTACCGCTCCCCCAGAAACTTCTTATCTTTAATACGCTTTTTTGTTCTCATCTACGCTATTGTCAGTTGGTATGGGCTTCTGGAACTGAAACATCAAAACAAAAGTTGTATACACTTCAAAAAAGCGCTTTGCAGGCTGTTGCAAATATAGGTTACAGAGAACACACATCCCATTTATTTGTCAAGTTTAAAGTTTTAAAATTTTGTGTTGCATATGAACATAACTTGTTGTTGTCTTTGAGGTCTGAAATTCGAAAGAATTGCGCAAACCTGAGAGGCTTAGCACATTTACAGCCGAAAATTTTGTTGCGTCCGATGCGGAGTTTTGAACACTGGCACATCCCCCGACCGCGAACAAATTACGGACTCCAAATCCTAAAGCACTCTGTTCCCCATATACTAAATAAGTTCAAGCTCACAGAACAGCAATTGCGTCTCCTTTCAAGTAGTGATATATTAAACCTGTTTGTATAAGGAGCTATAAACCCAGAAAAATTACACCCAGTACTTGTAAATGCATGAAATTTTAAGTGTACCCCTTTCTGTTATAGCGTCTTATTTTGGTTGCCTTTTTTCCCAATAATTGTTTGTTTGTAAACACCCAAGTGTGCATCTATTCTGTACTTTATAAACAACCACTAGAATGTTATTTTCTTTTCTTTTTTCTTTCAATCATACGTGAGCACTGTATGGAGTTTGGTGTGCCATTGTTTCTGTTGCCTTGTACAAATGGGAGGTGGGGCTATAGTCAAGCTGCTATAGCGCAGCTTTTTTCCTACTTTCCATGCCACAATTGTTTCTTGTTTGTGTAAATCACGGTGTATCGTTGTGGTGAAATAAATTTCAACTTTCAACTTTCAACTTTCAACCAACTGTGAGCAGGAATCGAACCTACGACCTTCGAATTACGCGTTCGATGGAAGGCGGTTCGAGCATCGAACGCGTAATTCGAAGGTCGTAGGTTCGATTCCTGCTCACAGTTGGTAATTTTTTCATCCACTTTTCTTTCTTCTTATTTACATTCCATTGGTTTTAATAACTTCCCCTGTACATTCCTTGGCATTACTGTCTGTTATATCTCATTAATATTGTGTTAAAACACGGAAAAACGAGCCCTTAGGTATACACTTCTTTCCCTTATATATATATATATATATATATATATATATATATATATATATATATATATATATATATATATATATATATATATATATATATATGTGTGTGTGTGTGTGTGTGTGTGTGTGTGTGTGTGTGTGTGTGTGTGTGTGTGTTCCGGTCTTGTGCTTGCTGCTGCCATTTTATAATCGCACATTTCTTAATCTCATCTGCCCACCTAACCTTCTGTCTCCCCCTAACCCACTTGCCTTCTCTGGGAATCCAGTTAGTTACCCTTAATGAACAGCCATTATCCTGTTTGCGCGCTACGTGCCCGGCCCATGTTCATTTCTTCTTCGTGATTTCAACTATATGATATCCTTGCATATCCTTACAACCACGCGAAGAAAGGCGTAGCCCTCACACTAAGAAATTGTGACCACTGCTTCATTTATTTTTTTTCTTAAAAAAAAGATCACTCACCGTTTGGATAGTAACACGCCCTCATTTGCGAGGTACCGTTTTGATTCGAAGAATCTTCGCTTGCTGTATTGCAGATAGTGATGGCCAACAGAAGGGCGAGAGCGACAATATGCAGCCCTGCCATAGTGGCAGGAAAACGTTCGTGAAGTAGTAACTTCGAGAACATATGCACTGCAGAAGGTTATGACGGGAGGTCTTCGTGACCCGGATGAGTGTTCTTAACTCACGTTGCCTAAACCGACACAGATGCGTCGTTTTTCGCATCAAGACCTCGCCTAACAATGCGGGTTGTAAAAGAGCGTGATGAATCTATAAACTGGGTCGTAATGAATTTACAGTTGTACGGCTGGCAGTTAAGTTTTACTCAGAGTGGAGGAGGATCAAATGACCGACGGCATTGAAGATATTCCTCAAAATCGCTTCGTAGCCAAGAAAAATGGGCCCACGAAAGGGGCGGGAACCACGGGTTCTTATAGATTGACTTGATTTCAAACTGAGTGGTGGTGTTTGTTATAAAGTAAATACTTAGAATGTTTTTATTAAATAATTATTCTCGTATGGCACGACACAGAGTTACTAATTGCAACCGCAGGGAGCACATTTGTCGCTGCTCTGTGATGAGAACACAGCCAAGCCGTTTCAGAAATGTATTTTATTCACATATACTAGGCCCACTTTTCCGCTTGGGAGAGAGTGAGCTTAATGATCTCCTCGGGTGGAGCTTCGAGGCTCTGGGAGAACCAGGGTGCGTTCAGCGATGAGTCTATGAATGTTTTGGGCAGATACTTTGACTGTTCCAGCAGTGCGTTCAGGGACGGGTTCACGGGGAGCACAAGTGGAGCGCTCAACTGCGGAGGAACGTAGACAAAGACTGTCGGGCTTCTCAGCGTGGTAACTGAGTAGGGCTGTCTCAAGAACATCGGGGCAGCACTGGCCTGTGAAGTTCCTCCATTGTTGGCTCTCAGTTGGGGCGCGCTTGACGAGGGATTTTGTCTGTTGGGTGGTACGTACACGAAGAAGGCTGGTTGGTCGTCTTTCACTGCCTCGGGGACCTTAGACTTGAAGTAGGACTTGAGATGGTTCGGCTTTTTCACGAGGGCGACGACGTAGCCGTGAGATGGTGGCGTCCTCAGCGTCGTCTCGACTATTCGGTCATCGGGACGGCCGCTGGTCAGGAGGGGCGGGTTCGTTTCCGGAACGGCGACGTCTTCACTCGATTGTCCCGGACCGACCACTTCGTCCTGAGGAAGCTGCCCTGGGTGGTCCCGTGGCCACGTGATGGAGGCTGTGACGGTCCTCGACTGGGGACTGTTGGCGCTCAGCTGCCTCGGAACGTCACCATTCGGCCCACCGTTCGCTTGTCGATAAACCTGCGGCGAGTTTTCTTGGTACGGAGTCGTTGCGTACACGCGTCCGCTCTGTGGCACTGGCCTGGAGGACACTGGAACAAGCGGTACCCAGCCGTACGCTGTGACGGGCCCTTCCAGTCTCTGGCTGAACTGACCCCCCTTGGCTGAAGCCAGAACGCCCATTAATACGAAAATCCATGGGCCCATTGTGGGGTTTGTCTGCGGAAAAATTTCACTTCATTCGTAAAACTTGTCGTCAGGCTAGTTGGTGCGTGGTACAAGATTACGCGAACCGCGGGGTATGACAAGGCAAAAGGCTCTTTCCTTTCGGCTTTTCTTCCCCGTCGTCTAAATTTGTTCATTTCGTTATTTTTTTTCTCAACAATTTTATTTTTAAGGTTCTATTCAAGGGGTATTACGTAAAGGGTCAGTATACGTACGTACAAAAAAAAAATAAGAGCCATACTTTAATAATGTGGTAAATCATCCTTTATGGTGGTAAAAAAATGCGGAGAGACAGGTTACGGCTGTGATGTCGTTGGAAGGGCCGTTACAGTCTGCTGCTGCGCGAAAAAAGTAATGAAAACGAACTAGTGATTGTGCGGGCACTCAGGCGCACCACTTGTTGCCGGTGACTGGAGCGACTAGAGATGAGTGTCGCGGGGGAATGTGAGGTTGCTTACCGAAGGAACTGTAAAAAAAATTGGGAAAAAGATGAATGCCGTCAGTGTGCATATAAGGTTCTTAACGATTTGTGGAATGCTACTGGAACGCCACTGCTACAATGCCTGAAGGTCTGACTGATTCTGTTGCGACTGGCTCCTGCGAGCTCCACTTGCTTAAGGAATCATAACAGTTTATCTTTGGTGACTGGCGTATCAACCACGCCAGTCACTTGTGAATAGCGAGGGGGTTTGAATGGGCGCCTGTGATGTCATTGCAGCGGTCAATGTCTGAAGCGTCAAAGGCACAAGATCAGGGCGAAGAAAAAGAGGAAGACGGATTAGGAACTGGGAGAATGAATGGCGGACGACATCCGCCTCACCGTTGTTCAATATTTGAGTAAATTGCCTTAATTGAGGGAACATAGCATTTATAAGAATGCTCGTCACGCACACACTCGCACATACCTACCTACCTACCTACCTACCTACCTACCTACCTACCTACCTACCTACCTACCTACCTACCTACCTACCTACCTACCTACCTACCTACATACATACATACATACATACATACATACATACATACATACATACATACATACATACATACATACATACATACATACATACATACATACATACACACACACACACATACATACATACATACACACACACACACACACACACACACACACACACACACACACATAGGGTGTTTCACATTTATTTATTTATTTATTTATAAAATACTGCAGACAAAAAGTCCAAGCAGGGTGAGCATACATGAAACACACATAATAACAGAATGAAACAAGGTTGCAAAGCATTTTTTACACAATTACTTTGCTATAAGACAGAAGGGTTATGGCTTTATAAAAAAAAATAACAGTTGAACAACAAGGTGATAATACCATTCAAGGAAGTCATGGAAGAAGGGTATTTACACAAATGGTCAAGGGCGTTGAGGAAATGCTTCGGTTAGTTTATTCTAATCATCTATTGTTTGTGGGAAGAAGGAGTACCGAAAAGTATCAGTCCTTGCGAAGATTGGCGTTAGGGAATGAGGATAGTGGTGTCGAGTGGGTCTGCTTAACAAGGGGGATACGTATACTGCGGTGTCTAAGGATAGCCTGTGGTCCACTATGTCTGAAAGAAACTGTAGCCGACTTTTTGTTCTTCGAATTTGTAATAGTTCTATACCATTTGCTGTTAGTAATGAAGTGGGGGAGTCGGTTGACATAAATTTACTATATATGAATCGTACTGCTTTTCTTTGAATTTTTTCTAGGTTTTGGACGTTAATTTTTGTGTGCGGATCCCAAACTATGGAGGCGTACTCAAGTTTAGGCCTAATTAAGGAAAAGTAGGAGAGGAGTTTAACACTAGGCGGATCAGTCTTGAGCTTGTGGCGGAGAAGGCATAATTTACGGAAAGCGACAGAGCAGATGTTATTTATGTGCAAATTCCAGGATAAGGTACTTGTTAACGTTAAGCCTAAGCATTTATAGGAGGCTACTTTAAGTAAAGGTGCTTCAGCTAAATTGTATGTGTAGTTTAATGGCCCTTTTTGCGCGTTATGGGGAGATACACACATTTGTTTGCATTAAGAAGCATTTCCCATTGTTCACACCATTTTGATACATTGCATAAGTTAGTATTAAGATCACATTGGTCACTAATGCAGGTTACATCTCTAAACAAAACACAATCGTCAGCAAATAAACAAATTTGTACCGGGGTGCTAATTACATTGACAATGTCATTAATGTAGACCAAAAACGGAACCAAAACTAGAACCAAACATTTTGAAGTTATCAACCGAAGTTTAATGAAACCAATGACATTCCGTCATATTGAACTCGTTAGTACATCTGTATACGACAGTTAATCAGTTGATTAACTGAGGTACATTACGTAATTTCTAAAAGAAAAGGCGGCAAGCGCACCATGAGCGTGGCATGTAATGCATGCCGTAGGTGACAGGTGACGTGTATTTCCGATTTACGTGTTAATATATGTCATTTATGATCTTAATAAAATCACGTCACACCACACCAATTTTGATGTATATAAAGCTAGAACAAAGGCTGCAAGCGCACCACGAACGTGGCGTGTAACTCATTCCATACATGATCATGTATGTCATGTTACCATTTGTCATTCATGATCGTCATTTAGTCACGTCGCTCACACACACACTCGCGCATATCGAAGCGAAACGGCCGCGAGCGCACTATGAGCTTGTCAATTGATTCATACCGTACATGGCATGTGTATGTCATGGTTTTCATGTTACTGCATATCATCTGTGCTTGATTGATTTGATTTGATTGATAAGAGGGTTTTAACATCCCAAAACCACGAAATGATTGTGAGACAAGCCGTAGTGGAGGGCCCCGGAAATTTCCACCACTTGTGGTTCTTTAACTTCCACCCAAATCTGAGCACACGGGCCTACAGCATTTTCGCCTCCACCGAAAATGCAGCCGCCGTGGTCGGAATTCGATCCCGCGTGTCATGTGTGCTAGCCGTACAGAAATGTTTCGCTATACCAATATTGGTACATATGTAATAATTATGTGGCCGCGTGAGCCCCGAGACCATTTATTTTCTATTTATTTAGAAGTACTGCAGACCAATATTTTGGTCCAAGCAGGAGGGGCATCACAACAAGAGAGAAAAACAACACAAAACAAAATATGTACATGCTAATACAATGCAACACGGAATGAACATGATGCATCGAAAAGAAGCACCAATCGCCCCTTGACCTCAGCGAAAATTCACAAAAAAGAATGGTGTGCCAAAGCAGCCATGCCATCGTTCAACTCCTGAACTTCAATAGGTATAGAGAATTCCATTCGCTCAGTGTTCGGGGAAGAAAAGCGTACTTATGCGTGTTTGTTCGGGCGAAAATTGGCGCAAGCAAATGTTCCTGGCTGTGTCTTGTTTTCCTATATAGCATGGGTCTGCGAAACAAATAGGGCAATGCCACACTATTTGTC